GACATCCTTCTCTGACCGAGTCTGGAATCCGTTTGGTCGAGTGCCTATGCCTATGTGAGGTGGGTATCTAAGTATCGGCTCCGAAGGGGCCCTAACTCATTCATCTGAGTGGGGTAGCAGTGTATGCAGCTAGAGCTCAAATCAAAGGGGTAAAAATAAGTAGCAAAATTGCCTTAGTACGTAAACACAATGAATGAAAATTGAACTTGATTAGATAGGTACATATAATTACATTAAGTGAGGGGTNTGATTAGATAGGTACATATAATTACATTAAGTGAGGGGTATATACAAAATAAGAATAGAATCGCAACTCCTGACCTGCCTCGCCTCCCCCCCGAAGGGCTTCATTGGTGCACAGGACAGGAGCCTTGATTCAAGAAGTGAAAATATATACAACTATTTACAAGATTAAATGGCGAACCGTTTGGATAGCACGCCGTCTGAGAGGAAAAACACCGTTGCCGGTCTATATTTAATATTTTCCCTGAGAAGTTCGAAATCAAAAATCGTATTGTAATTGCATGCGTTGCAGCGAAGCGTTGAAGAAGGCGGCACATAAGAGTACGATATGTTCTTGTATGGTGTTAATTTTTAGGTCTTTCCTAATATCGCTCATGCGGATTCTCCGGGGAGCCCCCGTGATTCTTCTTATGTCCCTGGTGCCAGACGCGGTCAAATGCTGTTTGGTCGAGTGATTGATCTTTCTGCCTTTATATCTATGGCTTCAACTGACTCCTAAAAGGATGCAACCCATACAGTAAGACGGAACTTCGCCAAACTCACCCTTTGGCTCACTTTATCGATGTTTTTGGCGCACTTACTGTTTTGGGACTCCTTGCTCCGCATCATTAGCATACTAATGTGCTACCAAAAAAAAAATGGATTTGACTGTGCAAATTCATATTTCTTCAGAAAAATTCTGTAAATGTCAAGAAAACACTTTTCAGATTTATTATTGATGTTTGGATTTGCAAATGAAATATCACGTAGGTTGATTTTATTTCACTTAAGAATGCAAAACTATTTTGAACATTACTTAAAAATATATACTGTGTACTATATTGTATTGTGTTACTTTCGTTTTGTATTTTTTCTATTCTTTTTACATTAAAAGAATTTTACGCGTCTTTTAAGATGTCATGTAGAGTGAGACCACTCGCTCAAGAAGAAATCGATAAAATAATGAATGATTTCGATGATGAAACGTACGCTGATTCTGAGTGTGAGGAAGAAGAGGAAAAGAATGAAATTGATAGTGAGGATGAATTTAAGGATAATTGTCAGTGTCAAATTCTGTAAATTCCAATTTAATAGCAGTAGAAGGAGGATTTCAATGGAAAAAACCATCTTTTAACGATAAAGTAAATGTTTTGCCATTTACTGGAAACGTTGGGCTAAATGAAAAATATTAAGATTTGAAAAGAGAAGTCGAATTCTTTGAACTTTTCTTTAGTGATATATTGTTTAAAATATTATCTGACGAAACAAACGGATATGCGGAACAAATAATGGATGCGAGACCGGAATCATCAGGAAAGTTAGGTGCCAACGAATCTCGGTGAAATAAAGAAATTTCGGGGAATAATTATGCTGATGTGCCATGTAGACTTAGAAAATATTTCACACTACTCGTCAACAGATGACCTAGAGTCAACACCACTTGTGAAAAAGTGCAGGCCTAGAGATAGGTTTATGTTGATATTAAAATTTCTGCATTTCTCAGACAATAATTAAAAAAAACACTTCAATGATGAAAACTACGATCGCTGATGGAAATTGAGAGAGATATTTGAAATATTAAACGATTCATTTAAGTCTGCGTACCACCCAACCGAAGAGCTTTCAATCGATGAAGTGATCGTAAAATTTAAAGGAAGAGTACTTTTCCGGCAGTATACATCCCAAAAAGAACAAAAATAGTGGGGAATAAAAATTTACGAAGTTGCTGATAAACTTGGATATGCAATATATATTTAGACAATATTAATTGTATATATTTAGGCAACAATGATAGAGATGATATAAATCATATCTCTGAATTTGAAGAAAGTGGGATATTGTTTAAAATCTTAGAAATAATAGGGAATTTGACAAACCATGCCAGAAGCTTGCTTTATAATTCTAATAATGCGGTCAAATCTTTTAACGCGGTCATTGCCAAACATGTCGAGGGTAAGAGGATAAATTTTTCGTTAAAAGGGTCTTATGAAGCATAGATGCAATGCTTCCTTGTTGGCTTTTAATACCAAAGAGAAATACAGCTGAATTCATAAGGAAATAACTAGCAATAGTCCAGGCCAATTCTACAAAAAAGAAGAGAACAGTCTTTAGCAAAACGTAAAAGAGATACAAAAAATAAACCAAAAAAATGTAGACGAAGGAAATTGTTTCCTGATGATGCTTATGGTGCAAATTCTCAGAAACCAGATATCCCCAAAGAATTGTCTGAACAAAAAAAAAGCTGAATTTCTAAATGAGTTAGAAAAAAATTCAGAAGAAAGATCAATATTAGAAAAGAAAACAAAGTAGTCCACTTTGGAAAGAAGAAGCTAACATCATCGATGTTTGGAACTGTGTGTGTAATAAGCTATCAACAGTAAAAATATTGTCAAAAGCATATTGTTCCAAAATTGTACGGTCGGCAGAAGGAAAAAACAGCAATCAGAAGAATTTGCAAAGATAAAGGTTGAAGAATGTGGTTTATTTGTTGACGAAAAATATAGTTTCTTAGATGCCAATCCTGACGGAATTGTACAGTATTTGGACGAAAATGAAAATAATTGTATTGTTGATGTTAAGTGTCCTCTAGCATGTACGAATTTGTTTCCAAATGAAGCTATATGAGAAAAAATTCACCTTTTGGAAGAATAAAGAAAAATCTTGCATTAGGGAAATAAAAAAAAAACACAATTTTTATTTTCAAGTGCGGGAACAATTGCACGCGACCAAAGCAACGTTCTGATTTTTTACTTTTTGGACCACAAAGGGAATTAAAGNAAAATAAAGCACCTTTTAAAAACACCCATTAAGAAAAGCACCTTTAAGGGCCTTTAAAAAATGAAAATCGAAAATAAGCACCTTTAAGCACTTTTCAAAAACGCCACGCACCATGTTTTATACCTTAGTCACTCAAATCAAGATAAATACTGTCTAGAATTTTGACAATTCGAGATCCATCCCCCTTTCACCCCCTTATCCTTTTAGAGACGCAGCATGTATTTAAGCCCATCTCCCTTTCACCCCCTTATCCTTTCAGGGACGCAGCATGAAATTCAATGATATCTTAATATCATCTCATATTATGAGGTAGAAATCATAATCTTTTTTATACTATGCTACTCCACTATTGGGGAAATAAAGTTTTTTAGAATTTTAATTTGCTGCTGAAAAAAAGACTTAACACAAATACAAATGTAAAAAATTAAATCAAAATCAATCAATATTCTACATTGTCTGTGATTTCTTTTTCCTCCCTTTACGAACATCGTTCAGAAACTGCGATATAATAAAATATGATAAAATAAAATATGAGCCAAAAGTAAAGATAAATAACAAAATATGGTAACCCAATTACATGCAACCGTTCAGGCAATTAAGCAACCCTTTCGGCAACTCCGAACGGAGGAATTGCGCTTAGAGTTTCACTTGCACTTGCAGTTGTACATATTTTTCTCTCGTGTGATAGAGGCATTAGTATTGATAACTTAGATGACTTGATGTAGTTATATGTCTTGAGACTGAAGTAAAATCAACTATAAATTTTTAAATAAAGAAAATAGCTTGTCTAAATGCAAAATTTTCAGCAATTTTCCGAAATCGCACCAGCCGATAATCCCTTCCCATGAGTAGTGATGTCATTATCGACCCATAGAGTAATCCGGCCACTTTGAAAATTTAACCTCTCGTGTTCGAAAGCCTTATCAGATATATCGATTTTAGGTATTTTGGTGAAAGAAGGCAAATTTGTTGAGTAAGACATTAAGTTAGGTTTTTGACCTTAAGGCTGAATCTGATGAAGGGAGAAAAAATGGAAGATGCAAAGTACAAAAAATAGAAGATTCATTTGTGTACTGACTGATTTGTATGAGTTCTTAGTGGCTAACAATCTAAGCTCACCAAGAGCTATAAAAAAATTAGTTATTGCATGCAGGCCTGCGTTACTTCTCAATCTTTTTTTCATAAACTAAGTGTCAGCTACGCATTATTTCTATCAGTTTATTATTAGTTTTTTAATGATGTATTTACTGTTATTTATTTTATATAATATTTTCAGCAGCAGTTAATTTTTTACGAAATCATTTCATGTTACTATGAATCAAAGCGACTATTTCAAAATTGAACTAAAAAATTTATTTTTATTCACTCACAACTTACAGATTTTTTTTTTATGATGTTAAAAAACTTACTTTTCTGACAAAACTGGTATATAATGTATAAAAAAAAAGTATATTTTCTCTGTAAAATTTATAGATAAGGCATTATCTATGATCAAACCAGCTTTAAAATTGTGGGCTAAATTATATTTAACTGTTTTGAAATTTAGCGAAATATTCTGTTTTATATTTTAAATTGTATTTTATGATGTTTAAAAAAAAAGATAAATTAGCAACAACTTTATATATACTCAACTCACTCTTAAGCTGGTTTAAAATTCGCAACGAATATCATTACATGGAAAAAGTTAATTACTAGTTATAAATTGCACGAATCGATTTCGCAAGCTCTACTTTTTTTAAAAAATTAACGTTAAAAATAAGCAGATAAAAGTTTTTCTTTTCTTTGTGATTGAACTTAATCCAGTTTTGCATTCAACTGTAATTGATTACGAAAGAATCCATTATTTACTCGTAACAATCGTTATAGACACATTTATCTAAGAATTCAAAAAGCTTAAATTAGCAGTAAAATATTATGTTTAATGCATAGTATATAAACTCTAGATTTTGACTTCGTTGTAGCAATAATTTGTTGAATAAAACTAACTGATTTCTGAATTTACATAACATGAATCAATTTTTTGTGAAGCTTTTAATATTTTTGTCGATTCTAAATATTATTGTTAGTGATTCCAGGTTTAAAGACATGTGGGACAAATATAAGGTAATGTATCTATACCATTATCTGATGCTCAAAATATTTACATAGTAGGTACTTCTCGTAAATAATGATTATTGTATAAAAAAATTACCAAATTTTTTTCTTGCTTCTTCAAAAATGTAACTAATTGATCACCCTGTGGGGTCGTGAACGAATTCAGGAGAGCTCTGACTTATTAAAGTATCAGTTTAATCAATCAAGAATAGTCTCTGAGAGGCTTCATCTTTCAATAAGTTGAAAATATGAAGGGGAGTCGGTAAGACATATATCAATAATGCTTAAGCTGGCCTTTTTCGATGTACCTTTTCTAAGAAATTACTCATATAGCTATGAAATATTTGGGGGATATTTGAGATTTCTGCAGTTGTATGATGTGATAATGTTTTACAGTTAACAGGAGTACTTTTCGAGTTGTGAAAAGTTTCTGATGAAACTTTTTAAAAAATTAAACGTTCTCAGTTCATAATTTTTAAACAAATTTCTACCAATCATATGTATTAACAGTTACCACAATGCAAACAGGTATATGTACATATTCTGTGGGAAAAAAAAACAAGCAATATTTTGTTTAGATGCTGAGAAAAGGTACATCAAAAAAGGTCAGTTTTAGCATTATAAGTATAAGCCCTACCGATTCCCCCCTTAAAAAAATTTCTTTTTTTTTTCAATTCAATACTTTTTAAATCTTTTGTAAAATTCATATAAGTACAAACGAAGCGTTTTTTCTTTTCTGGATAAGTTTTCCGTTCACCACATAATACAATAGAAACCGCTTCAGATTTTTTTGAGGGGGTGGGGGAGGTATATTCTTACACGGTAAAACTTTTTAAGAGAGTATTTTTTTTTTTTAAATGAGAAATGTATTTTAAATTTGTGACTTATACATACCCTCCAACTTATGAATATTTTGAAAATAATTCTTTCTAGTGGTAGCGAACCAAAGTAGAAATTTTTAAAGCAAATGGATCTCTCATAAAACTTTTATCAGAACTTAAGAATCTAGCCATATGGCCTGCACTTTTATAAGTAATAGTGGACAAGTTACGCTAAAATTAATTTTTTTTAAATATTAAGACATTAATTTTGCTACCGTCTGAAAAGAAGATTTCTGAAACTACGAAAATTCCGTAGCAGTTAGTTATAAAACTCGTGTAACCTGATGACCCTTTATAGTAGTTCTATTTTATTTATTTGTGCAGGATTTTTGGAGTAAAATCCATCAATTTAATAGCTTTGCTTTACTACGCACTTATTAATATTTTATAATAGACTAGGGGCTTTGCTCGCTGCCAGTGATCCACCCCTATTATTGCTTCACAATCATATTTTTTTTCTTACGATAAGCAGATTTATAAATCAAAATAATGTATCTAAAAGATAGAAATATATTTAATTCTGTTAAAACGGATTTGGTTTCACAGATTCAATTCTCAATACCATACCAATAAACCTAATCGTTTTGCTTGATTATTGCTGAAACTTCCATCTACATTCATATTTTTTAAAATCTTATTTAAATTCAGGCAACTATGAGAACTGGTAAACGTTTTTCATCAAAGAATTTTATTTTTGAGAACTCAATTTTTTATAACACTTCAAAAAAAAAGAGTTTATTTTTTAATACTTCATCCTATTTATTGGAGTTTTCAATTCTAGTTTCCGAACATCAAAGTACAATTTGATAATGTGTTTAAATTTTTTTTAAATGATCGGACACGTGACCAACGTTACCGTTTTTTCTTTCTTTTTTCTAGGAAATGCGAATTCTTTCTTAATATCCGTGACGCAACAACGACCTTAAAGCCTTAACAGTAACAAGTTAGTTAACTACTACTTTTTTCATCGAAAATGCACCCATTATGCTCCAAAACCGATGATTTCAACGTCTCGTAGTATATATTACACAAAAACACCCTCCCCAGAACGTACACATTATTTTACACTGGTCCAAAATTTTCGGGTAACTGAATTTGATTATCAAAAGTTTCATTACAGTTCAAGTTTATTAAAACAAGAGCAGCGGATATTATTTCATGGTTTTCAATAGAATGGAAAATTTCATGTAATTTGTTATCATTTTGTGTATTCCATGTGATCTTTATGAACTGATGATTTACAAATTTCCTTGATGTTCAATGAATGTTTGAAAGTATTCATCAGTATGATTACAATTATTTTAAATTTATTTTGGAACAAATACATTTTAGATTTGATACATATAAATTTTAAGTTGTATTATTGGTTCAAAAACTCAAACTGTGAAGTTCCATTTAAAAACGTTACCATCAACTCTTAAATTTTTCATAAACCTACTCAGAAAAATCAGGGAAATTTTTAATTTTAAAAATGATCCCTGATGTACCGTTTAACCTTAATTTCAGAAAAGCAAAATTATGAATAGTTTTTTTAATAATTTAGAATTTTTGAAAAGGGGACGCATATTTTCTAAAGAGACCAATGGACCTTGAGCCATAAAAAACCAACATTCAATCCATCAATCTATAGAGACCACTATTAAAAGTGCTACTGCTAGCCATTGTCCCGCAACAAAATTTCTTAATTCTGTCCTAGATTTATTTTGCGCCAGACATAGTATACAGCATGTTTGATGCGGTATAGGCGATTCTCCTGCTATTTAATTCTACATTGAATACTTGATATTTTTTTAAAAATTCGAATTTATTGAGAGATATTGTTTATAGAAATTCTGATTAAAATATGATTTATGGTAATTGGATTTTTAGACAGAATTTGATAAGAGTTATGATCCTGACGAAGAGAACTTTCGAAGAGAAATATGGGAACGGAAACATCTACATATAAGGGAACACAATAATGATTTCGAAAAAGGTGTTCACCGCTACAGTAAATCTCACAACCACATGTCTGACATGGTAAGCATGTTCTTTACACATATGTTAATAGATGCTACAGTTATGGTAAAGCTGGGCGATATGTTGTGAAATATTGATGTTTATTTTTTTTAATTATCGCTTTCACGATATTTTAAATGCATTCTCTCGATATATTGTGGACACGACACATATCTACAATGACTATATCGTGATCCAATAAGTAAATCCTCCCTCTAAGACAGAAACCTTTTAATTTGCCAAAAGTTCTAGAACAGAAGAACTTACATGAACTATTATCCAACTTACATAAAGCCGGGGGCCGCAATTAAAAACACCAGTCAAATGGTAGGCCGTAACTTCATCAAAATTTTATATAGGAATCTTTAATGTTTGAAGGAACATTAAATATTACTGTCAGACTTTTATCAAGTTGTACAAAACAAAAGTATTGAATTACAAATTAAAATAATAAGTGGATTTTTACCCGAGAAATTTTTTTTTTGCACCGTCGGCATGTTAAATTTCACAGAAACGAAGAAATAAGGTCATTTTTTAACGAAAGAAAAGTACTTTAAACTCATAAAGATTTTATACGAGAATCGCTAAAAAAAATGACAACTAATATATTTTAGTTCACGAGCCGGACGTGGCCCGCGGATCGCCAGTTGGTAACCACTGTTCTAGAACATATGTGCTGAGCTCTGCTTTTCTAGATGCTATTTCACTTGGTGGAATTGACAATAAGCTATTTTAAGCTAAGACCGTCAAGTAGTCAATTCTCTTAAGTGACACATTCTAAATTCTTTCACTCTTATGTTTACAAAAAGACCAAACACAAGTTGCCAGGTACACAAAACAAAAAAATATCACGGTTACAATGAAATACATAGACAAATAAATTTACGTTAATTAAAAGAAGTAGACGAGAAAGATTTATATTTCAACTATTTCGATACGACTCTGTAGTTAGTTAACGTTAACTAACTACAGAGTCGTTAGTTACGTTAATTAAAAGAAGTAGACGAGAAAGATTTATATTTCAACTAATTCGATACGACTCTGTAGTTAGTTAACGTTAATTAACATTAATTAACGTTAACTAACTACAGAGTCGTTACTAGTTAGTTAACGTTAACTAACTACAGAGTCGTTAGTTACGTTAATTAAAAGAAGAAGACGAGAAAGATTTATATTTCAACTATTTCGATACGACTCTGCAGTTAGTTAACGTTAATTAACATTAACTAACTACAGAATCGTTACTAGTTAGTTAACGTTAACTAACTACAGAGTCGTTAGTTACGTTAATTAAAAGAAGTAGACGCGAAAGATTTATATTTCAACTAATTCGATACGACTCTGCAGTTAGTTAACGTTAATTAATTACGTTAGTTACGTTAATTAACATTAACTAACTACAGAATCGTTACTAGTTAGTTAACGTTAACTAACTACAGAGTCGTTAGTTACGTTAATTAAAAGAAGTAGACGAGAAAGATTTATATTTCAACTAATTCGATACGACTCTGTAGTTAGTTAACGTTAATTAACATTAATTAACGTTAACTAACTACAGAGTCGTTACTAGTTAGTTAACGTTAACTAACTACAGAGTCGTTAGTTACTTTAATTAAAAGAAGTAGACGAGAAAGATTTATATTTCAACTATTTCGATACGACTCTGTAGTTAGTTAACGTTAATTAACATTAACTAGCTACAGAATCGTTACTAGTTAGTTAACGTTAACTAACTACAGAGTCGATAGTTACGTTAATTAAAAGAAGTAGACGAGAAAGATTTATATTTCAACTATTTCGATACGACTCTGTAGTTAATTAACGTTAACTAGCTACAGAATCGTTACTAGTTAGTTAACGTTAACTAACTACAGAGTCGTTAGTTACGTTAATTAAAAGAAGTAGACGAGAAAGATTTATATTTCAACTAATTCGATACGACTCTGCAGTTAGTTAACGTTAATTAACATTAATGAACGTTAACTAACTACAGAGTCGTTACTAGTTAGTTAACGTTAACTAACTACAGAGTCGTAACTAGTGTTTATTAAAACAAGAGTTTTACGGTCAGCGGACATTATTTTACGGTTTTCAATAGAATGGAAACTTTCATGTAATTTGTTATCATTTTGTGTATTCCATGTGATCTTTATGAACTGATGATTTACAAATTTCCTTGATGTTCAATGAATGTTTGAAAGTATTCATCAGTATGATTACAATTATTTTAAATTTATTTTGGAACAAATACATTTTAGNGACGATTTTTGATTTATATCACGAATTATACTATAGCACGTTTCTAATAGGTTTAACGAATTACATGTCATTTATTTGAATTCAAATTTATTTTATTGACTTAGTATTTACTAAAAAGATGTAATTTTTTTTAAAAATATTTATATGTGGATTTGAATAATTGTTTTGAATTCTTAGAATTTTGTGCATTTGCAATGTACCGAAGTTAGTAGCGAGCGAAGTGATCCTGGTTTGCGAAGCAAACCCTATAAGATTGCGTAGCGATTTTCGAGGGTTGGCGAGCAGGGGGTGCCGTCCACTAGTTATTATATAATATAATAAATATTATATATTTATATTATATATCGTCTCATTTTAGCCATTGATACACTAACGTAAACAAGTGCAAACCGGTTTCAGTCACATGAAAACAATAAAGCTGTATAGTATGATCTGAAAATTAAGATTTTACATAGAATCTTAAGAGAGCGTCTAATAATTTGGCCAGGAGAGTAACTTAGAAGAGTATAAACTTATGTAGCTCAAATATTTAATACGTCATTTTACTGATAAAGATTAGATGGCGTTGACGTAATAGATCACACGTGTGGGGTATTGTGATCTTCTTCTTCGTAAAGTACCCTATTTTATTGTTTAATGATAATGTGTATTGAAATGAGCGTTTGTTGCAGACAGAGGGAGAGCTTAAACGTCACCATCAATGTGCATTCATGTCTATGGAGAAAAAGGATAGCGGTTACGTTGAATTTAAGAGCGATTGTAACGGAAAATGTAAACGAAATATTCCAAAAAAACATGATTGGAGAAAAAAAAATATAATTACATCGGTAAAAAACCAAGTGAGTAACAGTATTTATTTCATAATATTTAATTTTTTATAACAACGATTCCCAAAAGGTGTTTAATGGAACCTTAGGGTTCCGCGGAGAAGTCACAGGGGGGTGCGTAAGTCTATATTTTTAATCAGTAATGATTTTTTTAAACCTGTAATAGGCTTGTATCCAACCAGTAATTCATTATTTATTTAATATTAAGATTTTTATGAAATTATTTAGGTAAAATTAATATAGGAAATTTAAAAAAAATTTTTTTTTTCCATTAACGATAGATTGCTAAAAGATACGCATTTATAAATTAGTGCATCAGTATTTTTCATCGAAGTTTGAAATTCCAAAATAAAATAATCAAATTCAAGAATAAAGAAATATTTTTCTTTGATAACCTTTTTTACAATTTATAAGTTCTTTTTCAAAAATTATAATTCAGCTTATTTTACACAATTTCAACTTAAATGGCAAAAATTACTAGACCTAATATATACAGAAGAAACTCTCTGCTGACTTAAGAATTCAACTGCCTAACACAAAACATTAAGGCTTGTTAATGAAACAATGAAAACATTTCATTTACGTTAAAAGTTTCTGAATTCATTTGAAATTTTTTTTATCTTTTGCATATTTACACTGACTAATGAACGTTTCTTAAAAGTCAGGGTTCCTCCAAAAGAAGTTCGATCGTTTAGGGTTCCATGGCTGAAAAAAATACGGTTGAAGAAATGTATTTCTCACTTACAAAAGAAATGAAACAATCAATTCGCATAGAATACAAGCTTGAGAGTGAAGAGGGCTAGTTATAAAAATTTCCACTAACATCATCGTTTATGGAATTTTTTCTTCCCTCCTATCAATTTTTGCTTTAAAAATTTATGAGAATTGAAGAAAACTTAAAACAAGGTAAGTAGAACTTACCTTGTTCTCCTCTAGGACTACCACAGATATCCGGTAATAAATATCAATTTGTTTTACTGCATAAAGGACTCTAGCATGTTTAAGACAAGCACTTTTAATAACTAAATTAGATAACACAAACAAAAAGAAAACACAATTAAGCTTCAATTATTTTACGGAGCTAAGATGCTCGATCGACATTATCGAGATCTTGATATCAACTGTCCTGCTGCGCCGGACAACTATAGACGGAATTCTCGACACCTCCTTTCGTTTCTGCCAAGTCTTTAACTTTATCAAGGGTAATTGCGGCACTGAGTAAAAAACACTGAAAATTTGAGGAGTAAAAAATCGATACCAAAATATATCACTCATGGGCACAACTCAAAAAACACAGGTGTAAATATGAAAATACACATTCTTTCAGCAGCAATACTAGCACAACTCATAATTGAACTTGAAGGTAATCCTCGTTTAAGCAAACTGAAACATTTCTTATGCATTTTGTTTAGCAATGAAAACTTTAAACCCACTTATCTCACAACTTGATTTTTTTTTAATTGCGCCGCTATTGCAGTCCATGAGCGATATATACCAAACATGATTACATGTGAACTTTTCAAACTAAAATGTTTAATTAAATTACTCGCTAATGTAGAATATCACACCTTTAGAGTAACTCCCCTTTGGAAAATTTGCCATAGAGAAGCCTATGGTAATCTATGGCTACCCAAGAAATTTGTATGACAAGATACCATACGCCTATGGTTACCATAGAGATTTATATGGCACAACCCCATAAGCCTATGGCTACCATAGAAATTTGTATGGCAAAACCCCATAAGCCTATGGCTACCATAGAAATTTGTATGGCAAGATATCATAGAAACCATAGAAATTTATATGGCAGTATACCATAGAGAAAAGCTGATCTAGTTCCCCATCAAAGAAACAACATCTCTTATGGAGTCCTCAAAAACATCTTCTAAAAGAAATAAATATCCATTTTTTCACCCCGAAGTTAATTAAATTCAACATGTAATCCCATAAGGCATTCCTGCCCTTAGGAAAATTTGCCATAGAGAAGCCTATGGTAATCTATGGCAACCATAAATAGTTGTATGGCAAGATACCATACGCCTATGGTTACCTAGAGATTTGTATGGCTACCATAGATATTTGTATGGCAGGATACCATAGGTCAATGGCAATCATAGAAAATTGTATGGCAGTATACCATAAGCCAATGGTAACCATAAAGATTTGTATGGCAGTATACCATAGGCCAATGGTAACCATAAAGATTTATATGGCAAGACACCATAAACCTATGGTAACCATAGATATCTGTATATTATTTATGTGGCAAGACAATTCCTTATAGAAATGTTCCCTAGAGATATGTATTGGAATTCACCATACCTTTATGGTAAACTTAATGTAAAATACCTACGGGAAAGTAACATATACACATATATGGCAAACTTATGGAACACACCATGTACCATACAATGTATGGTAATCACATTGCAATGCATCATAAATGTACGGGGAACAGACTCTGGAGGGCGGTTTTGTTATGACAACAAATCATACATGTATAGCACTCAAATGATAAATTGATGTTAAATGTATGGGTACGTATACCATGGATTTAAGGGATTTGTATATGGCATTCATTTGATATCAATTTTGAGTTCTATATACTTGCAGCTTATGCGCAGTAAATAGCACTTAAGTTTCCTAATTTTCTTTGTTATATAATCTCCCAAATTTCATCCTTTCAGTCTTGTGTGTGTATACAGTCCCTGGCCAAATTATTAGACACACTAAGATTCTATGTATAAGATACCATTTATATAAAAAAAAAATACAAATACAATGCAACTATTTTCGAGTTTCCAAAAATCCAACGAATTAACGGATTCAAAACTACTAATATTGAAGAATATTGTTACTTCTTCTTCTTCAGGAGCTCAACAGCACGCCTTCTCCAGCTCCCTCTGTCCATGGCAACTCCCCTCCAGTTCTTAAGTTTTAGGACTTTGAGTTCGTTTTCGGTGTCGTTGAGCCATCGAGTAGGTGGTCTACCTCTAGAGCGGGACCCCTGAGGGTTCTTGAAGGTGGCAATTTTTACAGGGCTATCTTCAGAGCCTCTCCATATATGGCATCTTAGTCGGTTGCTTCGGATTATCTGCATAATTTGAGGATTTTTATAGAGCCCATAAAGTTCAAAGTTGTACCGTGTTTGCCAACATCCCCCCTCTGGTATGGTACCAAAGATAGTTCTAAGTATCTTTCTTTCAAACGTTTCTATCGGGCGTTGGACGTCAAGGTTTCAAGTCCAGGTTTCGTTTCCGTATAGTAAGACAGGCAGAATGAGTGTCTTATATAATTTTAGTTTTGTTTTTCGGCTAATAAAATTCGATCTTAATTGACTTTTTAGTCCAAAAAAACATTTGTTGGCCATATTGATTCTATTGTCAATTTTAGATTTTAGTTTGTTTTGGTCATTGATAATTGTACCAAGATACTTAAATTTTTTAACCTTTTCAAAGGAATATCCGTTTATCTGCAAAGGTTCACTATAGTTTACAGTTGAGCTTGAAAACTCTATGAATTTGGTCTTGTCTTCGTTAAGAATATTGTTACACTATTGAAAATATTGCTACACCATTGAAGAATATTGTTTATCGTAATGTATATAAGTGTGGTTTAAAACTAAATTGTTAACGAATAAAATATGGGCAAAAGATGTGATCTCTGTCGAAAGGGAACTTACTTAATTTTAACATTATGTTTGTAGAATTCCTCATGCTTAATTTTTTTTTGGCCCGGCATCCTTAAGAAAATTTACCCTACAAGAATGATAAATCTATAACTTTCCTGGAGTCATATTTTGCCTGGTTTTTGTATTTATAACTTTTTCTAAATCAATTTCTAAACAGTAAGAAAAAGCTCAACTTTAAATAATTAAATTCAAAAGTTTAAGGAAAATATTATGTCTGCTGGTTAATATATTGTTTTGTAGCTTATGTTTGGTTTTATTTCAACTCCTTTTTAAATAACAAAATTTTAAGGAAAGCATATTGTAGTTTTTCTTTTTTTTCAAATTAAGTGTTCATTTTTCAACTTTTTTCCATGTTCATAAGGTCCCCTAAATAGTTCATTTTGTAACGCGGCTTTGAAATCCCAGAAAAATACCTACACAATTAGTCAAATCAAAACATTGTAATAGGCCAAATTTCTTTTGAACATTGGTTTGGTTACACAAAACTGTATAAAAATGTGTAAACTAAAAATAATAACTTTGAAAAATCAAAAGGCTATTTTTTATGAACACAATATTTTTCTACAACTAAATTCTATAAGTAAACTGATGTTAATGTTAATTAAGAAAAGATGAATTTTAAAATAATAAAAAAAAACATTTAAACAAAAACATAAATTTTATTTTCAAATCTCATACATATTAAATGCCAGGTTACATCAAAAATAAATATGAAGTAAAATAAGAATCATATATGAAAATAACAATTTATAGAAGTATCAGATTAATTTTTTTCTAAAAAAATCAGAACACATGAAGAAGACGAAAATTACATGAAAGAGATTAGTCAACTGTGGTAAAACTTCAGAAGACCACATTACAATACTTGTAGCTCAATTTGCTTAAAGTAAAAAATAAGCATTTGATCAATGAATTTATCAACATAAAAAGTTGTAAAACTGTTTGAGTTTATTTGTCATAGAATGAATGAATTCCTAAAAAAGTTTAAACAATAAAAGCCATATATAATTAGTAGATAGTCCCTAAATTTAAACTATCAAATCTCTGATAAAATTTTGAATGGTATAAAATACCTTTCCACAAAAATCTTTCGAATACTGAAGCTTTAAGATTTATATTTTGATTTAAACAGGCTCTTATTGCAATTTGTTGAGATACGTTTAAATCAAGAATATCGGGGGTTCCAAAAATAGTTAAACTTTGAGGTTGTGAACCATTGGCTACTAAATAAAAATCTCCCATATATAATTTAAATACGTTTTGAATTTCTGTAGGCGAATTTGAAAAGACATTTGGACCAGTTCTTTGCAAATATTTGAACTAGTTATAGTATTTGCAAATTTGCTGTGGTACAGATTGTGTACCACGAACCAAATTAACTAAAATCCCATTACCCTGTTCAAAAACAAATGCCAAAAACACATGCCCAAGGAGACCCCCAATCCTGCACATACTTGGGAAATTGGAGAAGGATATGGACATTAAATGTTAAGTACTCTGAACCATACAAATCTTTTAAAGATCGCACAAATTTACAAAGTGCATTTTTAGCATTTGATCCATCTAAACTAGACACATTTTCTTGCAACAAGATATTAAAAGAGTAGACTAATGGTAGCTAATGGTTCAAATATTTCTATGGAAGGTGATCTTTCAAGAGAGACAAAGAAAAGTACAATAAGAATGATCTCCATTCTGAAGCTTTCCACATTTTCCTTTTTTCTAGTGAGCTCAACAGGTGGTTTTATTATCATTAGTTTTTCATTAATTTTAGCCATTTGTTGACCAAGATAAAACTGTTTAGTATGATTTGTAGAGTCAAACCATGCAAAAACCAACATTCTGACGACATCCAGGAAAACAGAATGTATATAATCGGGTGCCATTGAATATATAATATTATGGCCTATAGTAAAATTGTGCCATATGAAAAAATGCCATAGTATATTCCTATGGGGTTTTGTCCATGGTAAAATTTTGCCATATACGTATGGCAAAATTTTGCCATACATGTATGGCAAAAAAAAATGCCATAGGATATTCCTATGGGGTTTTGCCATACGTATATGGCAAAATTTTACCATAGGCAAAACCCCATAGGAATATACAATGGCATTTCTTTATGGCAAACCTATGGCAAATTTTCCTAACGGTCATTCAAGAAAAAACTTACTACTTACAACAGTCGCAATATTGGATTTTAAAAAGGCGAAAATACAAATTGCGATATTTGGTTTTAAACAAATCATGATATTGGATTATAAATAGGAATTGCGATGTACGATTTTTAAATAGCGTGAATACTTGTCACAACGCATAGCTTTTAAATCAGGTAAGTAAATACGAAAATCGATGTTTAAATAAAGAATCCAATTATTAGCAGATTCCGGTGCAAATCCATACATTCAAAATGGCAAAAAGCAGCCAAAACAAAAGAATTAAAATGGCGAAAGAATAATTTAAGACGTAATCCTTCACGTAATTGACGAAAGAAAGTAAGTAAACGTCTCGTCAACGGAGCTTCGTCAAACAGCTTCAGAATTTTGTCGGATTATAAATTTTTGATTCGCGGAAGTCCGCGAACCCAATGATGGTCTTGAGATAAGCTGGATTCTGCGATATTCGCGCAAAAATTGCTAGCCCTGCTTCTAGTTTTCAGTCACGAAAAAATGATGTGAAAAACTCGGAACTCAAGGGTACCCTTGAAATACAATCATCCCTGCGTTATGTAATTGTCTTTTTCCAGCAGTTTGTAACATTTTATGTCTCCTCAATAAATAAATAATTTAAGATTAAAATTTTTGCCTTATTTTTGTGTAAGGATGAAAAAAAAAATCATAACCTATAATAATAATTAAATATTCAGATTGAACGAGTCGAAATTGTTCGTTAAGCTCATACTATTTTTTTTAAAGCGACCACCAATTTGAGGGTTAGTTTTGCGTTCCAAATTGAAGAATTTTTCCGCGAGTGCTTTTATTTTCCACGATTTTAAATTCGATCCCAAAATTAAATACTACTTTTACCTTTTTTACAGGGTCATTGTGGATCTTGTTGGGCATTTGGAACAGTTGCAGCTCTCGAAGCTCACTTAGCTTTAAAAACTGGTAAATTGGTAGAGTTAAGCGAACAAGATGTTATAGACTGTTCCAGGAAATACGGTAATCTTTAATCACCGATCTCTTTAAGTTACTGTATTGCTGATACAAAACAACCATAGACTCATAATATAAGTAGACTGCTCTCGCAATTACTGCTCACTTTGAAACCAACATCTGTATGATTCACCCACAGTGAGGAATGATAAGCAATGTTAGATGAAAAACAAATTTTCATGATGACATAAAATGCTTTTTAAGAAGGCACCTGTCATTTCGCATAGCGGCGAAATTTAAGACAAATAATGACTACTGTTAATAACGAAAATAATTTTTAAAAAAAATGGAATAAATATTTCCAACATCGATTATTCAGCTTTCCTTCGTATTTTTTAATCTCTAGCAATTAACAAGTTGAGCAAAATTTTAGGATATTTTAAGCAACTTTTTATAAACACTTCATAACTTAATATACACATCTATAAACAATGCATAACTTAACTTTAAAGTACATGTTATCGGGTAAATAAGTATATTTATATTTTAATTCGCATCTTTTAAATTCTAGCTAATTAGCTTAACTTCTCGTAAAGAATAACAGAAATTTCTTATTATATTCTGTGAAATTCTTACTTTCTTATTGGCAAATTATTTTTCAATTCAATAATTATAACGGTTCGTAATCGTTATATCTATTTTAAATCACCCCGAATGTACTATTTTTGATGAGCGGCGTAGTATGATTTTTTTTTCTTCTTTTGGACCTAGTGCTGTTTCATTTAATCTGCAACTTAATTAATTTTAATCGTTTAGTAAAACAAACTATCTCTCACTATTCTTGTAAGTGGTGCTTTCTTTAAGTGCACAAGATTTTTTCTTAAATCAAAACATTTGATACAAAAAGGAAGAATTGGCAACACATTTATTGCCACATACTGACAGATTGTATCTCAAAATCGATTGGATATTCGGCAAGGTTCTTCATTTAGACTATTGTGTTATTGATTTAAGGGTCTATAGTTAATGCTAAGCAAGCACAGAAGGTTGGACACTCTCAGAGTTTCTTGATTGCGTGATAAATGATCTCTTAAAATGATTCGTGCCGGCATCAGACAATGGGGTAAGAGATTATCTTTAGTCATCAATGAAAATGGTGAACGACTCGAATAAAATTTTTTTTTAAGGTAAACTTCTATTAAATAAGACAATATCGGGTAGATACGAATTCCGCTCCCGGCTAAAGTAAAATATCTTCAGTGGTTGAAGGATCCTGGGTTAGAGTTTCTTGCCGTTAGGCTAACCGTGGGTTAGTTCCATCAAAAAGTCCTCCACGAAGGCAAATTTCTCCCAATACTTGATCCAGGAGTTGAACATTTGTATACCCAAAATTAGGTCGGCTGTTCAACAACGGTTATAAAATGAAATAAAAACTAAGTTTAACTTCTGGGTTAGTAAGTGAATTCGCAGAGACAACAGTTCTGGTTGTTCCGTATCAGCAATCCGAATAACCTCTAGAAATCAATGATCCTGAAAATTCGTTTCGATGATAAGTAATACAAGTGTTTCCTAACTTATTTTGCGCACCCTACATAACCATTAATACATTTTTTTCGATATTTGAAAATAATTTATATTTTTTATACCTTCGACGATAGGAAATCATGGTTGTCACGGTGGATTTACAGATCATGCTTACCATTATGTCAAGACAAATAAAGGAATAAACAGAGCAAAAGATTATCCGTATAAAGCCAAGGTAAGTGACTGACATAAGAGTGATATAGGGGAGAGTCGGGTAGCCCCGCCCACAGTCAATTTCATATGTATAGAATATTTTTTCACATCAATGGGCCATCGGACATTAATTGTTATATTAAAAAAAGATTATTTTCAAAGTTTCAAGTATTTATGCAGATGTTAACATGGTAAACAATAGTTTTGAAGATATGTTGAATACAGTAGTCATGAAATTAAGAAAAATTGGTTGAATACTTTGATTAAACTTCATTTTAATACTAAAAAAATAAATTTTTCTATACATACAGCATTAAAGTATGTAGTCTTAAGTTTAATTTGCACGAAGAAAGAAGTTTATATGTGAAAAATTTTTCGAGTAATTACAAATTTACAAAAAAATTGGATTTCGGGTAGCTCCTCTCACATGAATGTCGGGTATCACCGCCCAATTTTATTTCGTCAATAAATGTACGGTTGCAAAGATTATTATTTTATTGCTTCAAATTTGAATGTTATATGCATTTTTAACAACAAATATTGTTGTTATTAAATGATAGAATTCACTAGAAGTATATAAATATGTAATAAATAAAATAATTTAGTGATAAAAAGGATAAATGGGGTTTATCTATTGTCAATACATTGGTCACTTTCATTTACACCTGAAAAACAGTCAAAAAACATAATTTTTGTAACTGGGCGGGGCTACTCGACACATTTTGATAAGCGCTGGAAAACATGTTTTTTTAAATTTCTATTTTTTTTGGTTTATTTTTTTGCATTATTTAATTAGATGGTAAAACAATAGAAACATACAAAAATATTGATTATTACTAAATATTATACANGACGACAGGAAATCATGGTTGTCACGGTGGATTTACAGATCATGCTTACCATTATGTCAAGACAAATAAAGGAATAAACAGAGCAAAAGATTATCCGTATAAAGCCAAGGTAAGAGACTGACACAAGAGTGATATATATGTAATTAATTATATTAATATGGATATCATCGTTTAGTTCTTCTTAAACGTAAATATTTCCCACAAAAACACTAAACATTTTGGTTTTGAAATATTGTAACCTTATTATATATTGTAGCTTAAAAGGATTGTAGCTCTATGCTAAACATTTAGTTGATGCATTAATCGTAGCGAAAACGACAATTACCTAGATTTGGAAAATTTATCATCCGTACCCGTAAATTAACTTAAGGAATACAGATTCTGAGGCTCAATAACGATAAATAAGTAATGCGAAATAATTTTACTTTTGAAGAGATGTATGACAATTTAAACAGGATATTGATTTTATCACTAGTTAAAACTACGTTTTTACAGTATATAACTACTAGATTTTTTTAAAAAATAATTTGCTGTGAATGTTCAAATTTCAATTCTATAGTTGCATTTCAGCGGACAGAAGACCGTCCAACATGGTTTTTTATTTTACTACAAGTTTAACAGTTATTAATTTTCGAACTAATTGTCAAATCCAAATTTTTTTTATTCCCTCCTACTCTCTATACATCTTTATACCTAATTTTTACCTAACCTAATTTTAAATATCTAGTGTTATAGACTTAGAGCAAAAACAAAGCAATCAAAATTGCAACCATAAAAAAAAAACTCATGAAGTTCACAAACAAATATGGTTATTCAGCATGCTGAATTTCAACTTGTTGAGAGGCTCGTCTGGTACTTTTCCCAAGATTAATGGACAGTGGAATGTGGCTTAATGAGTTGATCTAGTGACATCATTTAGCGTGAAGTGGAATATTAGATTTTTGTGATGAGCACACTTGTGGTGCTGTCATCTATGTTTGCCCACGAGAGTTGCGGGGGTTCCAATAGCCTCAGATCATCATTTCAGAGGCGCAAAAAAGTGGAAACTCTTCATATGTTGAATGAATGCGGGAAAGATAGCGGTATCCACGCTGGGTCTCATTTACTTTACACCACACTTTTCTCAACGATTTTAAACCAAAGTTGTATCACCTTTCTCATGATCAATTTTGAAGCCTTAAATTTTGAACACGGTTGTTATTACATTCTTTAAAATTGATAAAATTATTTTTTTCTTAGGAAGGTAAACGATGCAAGAATAAGAAAAGAAAAAATGAAGCACCCATCAAGTACTATGGCGTACTACCAAAAGGAGACGAAAAATTATTAAAAGAAGTCATTGCTACTCATGGACCAGTTACTGCCTTAATTCACGTCACGAAAAATTTACATCACTACAAGTACTGAAATAAGTATCTAGTTCTAAATAATAAATATTTGGTGATGCAGTATGGTGAGATCAGCCGTTAGCTTATTTCAAGTAACATGTTTCAGCTGTTACGACATAAAAACCTATCAGTTCTTAATTGCGGTTACAAAATAAGAGGCCATGGAACATTTCATAGTACATGGAATAGATGTCATGGAATATTTATTCTCGTTACTTAGAAATTTTAATAAAATTAATATAGTTTTAATTTAAAATCTACCAAATCATATTTTTGCGAGGAATATATTTACAATTAGGAGAAATAAGCTTTTAAAAGGATAGTAATTACACAATTAATTCTGCAAATTGTTAACATTAAAGACAAGAAAAACTTTACTTTGGTGGTACGTCAGCGAGTCGAAAAGTAATGTGTTTTTTCTTCAAGTTTTCGGAATTAGCAGTAAAAAACACTTTAATTAGAAGCAATTTTTAATAATAAAAAATTCTATAATAGATTCAGATCCAATAAAACAAAATTGTCTGACATTGAGCCAAAGATTGAATTTATTTGTTCAATCAGACAAATATGCCATTAAAAGTATCTCAAAAGTTTAAAATAGTATAATGTTTAAAATAATATAAAAATCTGGGTTTTTAAATATACATAAAATGTGCTTGTTTACCAACAGATCCGGAATATTTCATGACGATGAGTGTACTAAGAAACATCTAGTCAACCATGCTGTTTTAATTGTTGGATATGGCCAATCAAAAGGCATACCTTACTGGATTGTCAGAAATAGGTATGTATAAATACACCAAAAATTAAAACGAAATAAAAACTGGCAAAGCAAATAAAACCAAACAGGGCCAAAGTATTATCCAATATAGGATCAATATACTGAAAACAAAAATGAGCATAATCTGTACTTAAAATAAGGAAACTGGTCACTTGTCGAACACAGCAGCTGACTGATACCCTGCCAGTCAGATAATAATATGTCTAACATTAAACATACCATACCCGGTCAAACGGTCGGTTATTTATATATGCATATANTATATATATATATATATATATATATATATATATATATATATATATATATATATATATATATATATATATATATATATATATATATATATATATATATATATATATATATATATATATATATATATATATATATATATATATATATATATATATATATATATATATATATATATATATATATATATATATATATATATATATATATATATATATATATATATATATATATATATATATATATATATATATATATATATATATATATATATATATATATATATATATATATATATATATATATATATATATATATATATATATATATATATATATATATATATATATATATATATATATATATATACACACGAAGGTTGTTCAGTAAGTAATAAGACTCATTTTACTGCCCCGAAACCATTAATCGGAATGATAATTTCTGTGGCATAAAAAAAGTTTGTTGACTGTATTAACAAAAGCAACCGATAGATGGCGTGTACAGACTCATGTTCCTTAGTATCAAGCGGTTAAACTGATTTTCTTAACCACTTGATGACGACACTTTAGTTTAAAACTTTGGATGGTGCCCTGATCAAGTGGTTGAAGTTTTGAGGTAGTGTTTGGGAGGGGTGGAAGTTCAAATTTTACGTTTTCCATTTTCGGTATGGTATTGTGCCCCGTACAGTTATCGATGAAAAGCACAATTTTCTGTTTTCATTTTCTTATTTAAATTTTTAGGCCAGCTTTCAAAAAGGTTTGATGTCATCCAAGCTTTTCGATTAGCTTCATATTATAAAGGAAATGATTTTACGCCGCTGAAACATCTTGGTTTTTTCGATTTCCCTATCATCAACGGTTTTAACTATTCTGTTCCATTCACATTTGCACAATACAATAAAGTTAAACGCTCTTTACTTCTTTTGCCTCCATGACATGCTTCACCCTTTACATGCATAGTTTTGCCTGGAGTGCATAAAAAAGTCCAGTCTTTTTCGTCGTAATTCTTCACGATCAAGCATATTTTCTTCCTAAATTCTTCACAAGCTTCGTCTAAGCAAGCACTTTCACCACATTTTCAAACCAGCCATTACTTGCTTTGAAATTTAAGTGGCCTAATTCTTTTGCAAAAGATTCAGCATTTTCTTTGATTTCTGATAAGGCCCTTCTCCATATCGGGAAATTCACAGGTTTTTATCTTCTTTTGCTTGCCTAGGCCATCCTCGAACTTTTCTAAAATAACTGCTTTATTTTTTAAAATTGTGGAGATTTCCTTTTTCTTTTTTTCAACTTCGTCAATGATTTTCTTCTTTATTTGTACTGAAAGCGTGTTTAATTTTCGTTTGCTAACCATTTTAAACAAATGACTCGCCAAAGATTCAACCTCTAAATGCTCTAATTTTCTCTGAAATAACCAAGAAAGGAAACTTTTTAGGAGGTCCTATATTTAATAGACTTAAGCTAGCTAAAAATAATTTAAAATATATGCTCATAATTTAAGTTTAATAATTCTTACTGCACTAACTTGATGTTTTTTTACAACCTTTTGTTTTGCATTTACATGAAATCCATAATTTTAAAATAAAAAAATATATACTATGCAAAAACGTAAAAAATATTATAAACTAATGAACAAAACTATAAGAATAAAAGATAAAGCAAAAACGTGTTATTTTTAAAAGAACATCGATGACGCTATTTTATTTTCGGTAGAAAACGTTTTCATTTGACTTAAAAGTATGAAAAATAAATCAGAGCGGATTTATGATTGATTTACAGTTTGTAAACAAATTACGGAGAAATCATATTGTGAAGAAGCTACAAAAAGACGTCTCAGAAGGCGTTGCCGAGAGCTCCAATCAACGCTCTCAAACTCTTTCTTCACTATCTGTAAATGCTAAAGGTTGGTTACATGCTACAATTAAGCAGCGACCACTGGCCAGTCTGGATCACCACCACACTTGAAACCAAAGAAAATAACACATTCAAAAAGAAAGTAGACTGGAATTTATTTTACAATATCCTACATCTCTCCAATAATAATGAAGATGATACTATTCTTAACAGCCCAAATGATACAGATCATGCAATTGAGGATCTAACTAACTCACTATCAAAGGCACTTCAAGAGAGGCCACTGAAATTTTTTCAGCAAACCTTAATAACTTTAAACTTCCAAGCCATATTAGAAATATCATAAAGGAGAAAAATAAAATAAGGAAGAGATTTCAGCAGAACCTTAATCCCTCACTTAAAAAATAAGATGAATAAAGAAATTAAAAAAATTAAGCAATAATCACAGAAATAAAGAATGGGATGAAAAACTAAAGAAACTAAATACTACTGATAATTCCATATGGAAAATGACGAAATCACTTAGAACACCGAGTAGCAAAATGCCCTCAAAAGGGCCATCTGGCACTGTATACACAATAGACGATAAAGCAGATGTTTTCGCAACAACAATGGAAAAGCAATTCTCCATAAATGATGACAACAATGACCCAAACAGTGATAAAATTATCTTGGACAAATATAATGAAATCATCAATAAACAGCATAATAATGTAAACAATATTAACTCATACCCTCCAACTGCTACGGAATTTCCGTAGTTTCAGAAATCTTCTTTTCAGACGGTAGCAAAATTAATGCCTTAATATTTAAAAAAAATTAATTTTAGCGTAACTTGTCCACTATTACTTATAAAAGTGCAGGCCATATGGCTACATTCTTAAGTTCTGATAAAAGTTTTATGAGAGATCCATTTGCTTTAAAAATTTCTACTTTGGTTCGCTACCACTAGAAAGAATTATTTTCAAAATCTTCATAAGTTGGAGGGTATG